CAGTCTGTGGTCAACCACATAAGCTAATATCTTCCTCATAGATTTCCTACAGGAAGTTTCTCTACCCTTGCCCTCCAATGTAGTGACTCTTATTACTAATGTCACTTGGTGGCAACTGGAGCTCACCTTGTGACTTCTGGGTGATATTTGTTTTCCCAGCTAATGGAGATTTATGGGCTGTCACTGTCACACGCATGCATGGCTGAGTACATGGGAAACTTTAGAACTAAGTTATGCTTGTGACTGGACCCCAGAGACACCAAGGTCTGAACTCCGGGATCCTTCTGGGTGGAGTGACACACCACTAAGTGCTGAGCCAATCTGCTTGTTGTGTTTTAGTCTCTCTGAATTACCTGTGTTATACCCAAGCTGCTATATCTTAAATTAGAGTCACTCCCAGACATTGCTGTCAGGAAAGAGCCTTTTCATACATATATAAAATACAATCCTGGCTGAGTTTTCTTTGCAAATAAAATCACTAAGTGTCTCCTTGGCAGATAAGCTATAGTAGATCTTTTGCATCTGTTTCTTTTATTTCTGACAATGGATTCTGTAGCATCTTCAGCTAAGGGGAAAGAGTGAGACTGGATTTTGCGAGTGACTTCTATCTGTTCCCCTCTCCCTCCAATCTGTTTAAAGGTTTTCAAAGGCTGTTTTCTCCAGAGCTGGCGGACTCTACTGTGCACACCAACATGCCAGCTTGAAGACTTGCAATGTACAAATGAAACCCATAGCTCATTACTGTTTTTGATGACTCACATCACTGTTGCACACCAAGGCTAAACAGTGTAAAGCAAAAGGGTGCATTTATATCAAAGGGATCATAAAACAAAGGGCAATAAAAGATGCAGAGTAGAAATTTGCCGAGGAGGGGAGAAAGGCGGCTAACAATCTGAAAGCCTGGATTCAGTGGACTTTGATAGGCTATATTCCCAAACCTGAAATGAATTCCAAACGTTTCTGGGTCAGCACAGACCTAATTGAATAAGCGTACAGTAGAACTGCATTGGGAATACCATATACAGCCTCTGGAACTGAGAAACAAAGGGCTGGTGATGTACTTCCTGGCTCAAGCTGGTGATGTACTTCCTGTTCAGAGGAAGGAGCATTCTGTGCCAGAGAACATCTACATTACCAGCAGAGAGTTTGGATTCTGCACTTTTGGAAATCTTAGTGGGTATAGCCTGTCCCAGTCCCCCCTCCCGTGGAGTGGAAAGTGAAATGGAGAAAACCCTTCTTTGCCTTAGAACAAATTTAGTGTTTGTCCGTTTCTCTAGCATCCAGGAGAACATCAAAAGTGCCACAGAGGTTGTCACGAAGGACCATTCTGATATCTTCTTAATCAGAGAGGTCAGAGCTGCAGTCTTGATCTCCACTACTCCTCTTCCCTCCTCCCATTTTCCAAGTATGAAAGATTCACCCATAGCACACAGGCTTTCCCTGCTCAGGATAGACTGTCATTGGGTAAAGGTCACAATCTCGGATTCTGTCACCACTAGATGTCAGGTCAAGTTAGAGGGATTTGGAGAGAGAGGTTTCAACAATGGGTGTGTTAATCGGTTTATACAGAGAATCATTTTAGGGGGGAGATGAGAGTAAGGAATGGGGGTAGACTGAGGTGGGGAGCAATGACCAGAAAAGTCACAAGGACAGAAGTGCACAAGGTCTGTCCACCGTTAAGAGAACAGAATGGTATTAAGACTTCATTTGATTCAAATGATAATCCAAACTATTTCCAAAGACGAGCATTAAGCAACAAATCCAATTGAGCCTCACTGTGAAACACCGTATATTGTAGCATGTACCAGGAACATTTAAAAAAATTTGAAACAAAACTAGATTTTTAAACATTTAGAAAAATAGCATTTCTTCTTTTGCTAAAACTTGCATTTGCCGTTGATGTGTCTTTTGAGTGACCAGATCCACATTTTCACTCGGATGTGATTTTATTTTTAAACACAGCATGTGGGGTTGCAGGCAGGGCCAATAGAAATTAATGGAATTTTACCAGACATTTGTATTGTCCACAGAATACAGAAAAATCACCAACGTTCTGCAGAAAAAAATTAAACAAATTCTGTTTATTGGAAATTAACTCCCTATGCTTGTCTGTCCCCTCCGCCCCTCCAGTAGCTGCTATTATTGTGTGCTAAGGGAGACCTTTAGCTTAAGGTCTGGTTTATGCTGAAGGACCAAGGTTCCTAATGTAAGTTCGGCGTGCATGTGGTTTATCTCTAGTACTTATTGCTTTCTTCAACACGTGTATTTGTAACACCTTGGAAGCATAGGCATGGTATTTTGCATTTGCTACCTCTTAGCAGCTTACACTCTGCATGTCCCTCATTCCTCTGTCATTCGTTTACCTAATTTTGCTTGTTGGATGAAGCAATGAAGTGAAATTGACATATTCTAATAAGATCCCCTCCATCAAATGGAGGCAAATGGGCTGCAGTTGCAACCTAAACATTTTCACGCTGATGATGGTAAACATTTTCTCTCACTTTCGTTGCCATGGCATTGCTTCTACTTGAAAATAAACCTTTGGATGATCACGTCAAATGCAAGGAACAGTTGGAGAAGGATACTGAAAGGAACAGGAAGAAGGAGGGTTCAGATTCCAGCTGACAAGCACTAACTTGTTATTTCTCTCAGCAGAGACCATCAGAAATTTTATGCTAGCCTTTGTCTGACTTGTGACTGGAGCTGATATTCCTCTTGAAAAGGCTTCATTTTTCAAGGACTTTTTTATGCCAATATACAAAGGAAGGTGGAACTCTTCCAAATCCTGAACAGTTTAGAAATGTTTACCTTCCATGGCTCTCACTAGAAGACAGAGAATTTATTTTTTCAAACAGTCTGATCCTCAGGTCCACATAATGTTGGATAAAACTACAGATTGTGTGGTTGAAATGTACTTGCTATCCCTTCATCCTTAAAGAACCAGTTAAAGCAACCTAGTAAGCACTGAATTTCTGGACTGAGTAAACTATTAGAATGTTGAATTTGGTATTCTTTGTTCATGGAGGAAGAAATTCAGATTGCTCCTTGATGGGTATGTGTCCTAATGCCATCTGTCTGACTTGTGTACAATATGTGGTTTGTTTCCATTCTGAAAACATACCCATCTTTATTTGACAACACAAATAACTCTCATACAGAAAGCATTTTGCCCGATGACACTGTGCTCAACATGCATGTGTGAGCCTTACAGGCTCATTTCTATTCTTGGGTCATGGCTGGTCCTTACTGATGGGGAAGATTGTCTTTTCATTGTCTGAGTTTGTCCCTACAGTTCCAACTGCAAGGACAATAGAAATGTAGAGAACTAACCAGCCTGGCCCACTTGTATGCTTCTTGCTTACAGTCTTCCTAGCTAGATGATCTGAAGATGGATTGGTTTAGATTTCTGCACCTCTTCAGGGATTAGGGATTTCAGACCTAATTGAACAGACCCTTTTCTGTTGCCTTTTTTATGTAAGAGATGCTAGGCTGCTGTGGAAAGTATCAATCTGGAACTGGATGTTTTGTCTTGTCTTTTCTTCTTTTCTTTCCTTTCCTTAGTAATTGAAGATCTAGACTCAAAGCACCTACTGCTTTTGGAGAGAAGCATAGCTACTCATTCAGCATGGATCCTGGACTAAGTAGTATTTCATATAATTTGGACCCTGATCCTGCAAACAGTTGTGTGTGCTTAACTTTACTGCTGTTCCTAGTCCCACTGAAATCAACAGCAGTATTCACAGTAGGAAAGTTAAGCATGCATGTGTGTGCAGGATCACGGCTGTGAATGGAACTCAAACCCATCCACAGTTAAAACTCTGCAAGCACCTGGCTATTAAAATCTTCCATCTTGTGCATGTTCATTCTGGTATGTTTCAGACGCTTGGTGGACAAACCAGGGAACAGCAGAACCTACGTTAGATGCCTCAGCAGGAGATGTGTAGGGAGCTCTTTGTTGTATGAAGATCCTTAGGGACTTTCCAAGGTCCACCGCTCTAGACCACCTTAAATCTTTCTTATTTTATAAATCTGTTGTACGTTGCTGTACGTGGCATCTTATAAACAGACTTGGCCCTGTCCTGTAGAGATTACAGTTGTGTGTTCCAAGAGAACATTAATGATATATGCGTGTGTCTGAAGAGTAGGCTTGCTTTCAGTTTATTGTGCACACATCTTTTGATCCTGCTTTTATTTTCCTTTTTAAAATCAGTTCTGTTTGTGGTTTTACAAGCTAAAGTTGTTTCATGTGCTTAAATACAATGGCACTGGTAGAAAGATTGCACAGGCCACTATCTTTTGACATGTGACTAACTTGTCAATATTGATAACCTGGCATCGTTGTTAGAACATGAGACTGTCTAGATGTTTATGCTGAATGAAATTTTCCAATCCCCTAAATGACTTAGACGCTGAAGTCGCATAGACACTTTTGAAAATTCTACCCAAGATGCTCATCACAGAGTGGCTAACCTGAATGCTGCTCCTTGTGGTTATTCAGCAAAGACCAAAACACCACATGGTGAACACGTTTCTTTTAAACGTATCAATAAATATCATTGACTTGTTTCTTAAATATATGTCCAGTGGCACAAGCGAATCTGGGGGAGGGATTTGAATGAGGAGAGGATACGTGCTGGTGCCCTAGCTCAGAAAGGGCCAGGTGAAGCTCTACGAGATCTTTGGACGAAAGGTGCCTCGTAGTGGTTTGGGTGCTGATGCTTGATATTGGATATAACCTGTTACTACAGAAACCTCTATGCAAAGTTCGACTTTTTAGCTGCCCAGCGAATAGGTACTTTCTATGCATTTTTAATGGATGAGATTAAAGCAACACCCCAGTACATTTGGAGTTCAGTGCCAAGAGTGATGCCCAGAACAACACCTCACACTTCGGGGAAATACTTTGACACTGAGAACTGAAAAGGGAATGGTGGGGGGATAAAGAATTTGATTGTGGATATCTTAATAAGTGGGTTTTTTTGTTTTTTTTAATCCTCCAGCTTGACCTTACCAAACCAATAGAAGATCAGGGCCCGTTGGACGTGATCATACATAAACTGACAGATGTCATCCTTGAAGCAGACCAAAATGACAGCCAGTCGTTGGAGTTGGTTTACAGGTTCCAGGTGAGTGTCATTTTTCACAGCCCTTGTGCGCTTAAGGTGGAGGCACAAAGCAGAGCAGGAGGCTCGGCTCTTAGTGTTGCCAGTTTAATCCTTTTCCATGGAGTAGGGACACGTGACTAAACCAGCTCCCTGTGCGCTGCTGCTCACCTACTGAGAGCTCTGGGAAAGGTGGCTTTATTGAGCTAGACTGGATGCCATAGCTCTGGGTAGATTTTACATTGTGGAGGAAAGCAATGCAATGCCCAGTTCACCCTGGCGTCCTCCTGTCATCATCCTAGAAACATTGCTACTATCTCTAAAGAGGAGTAGGTGTCTGTAGGGTTTTCCCCAGATCCCTGAAGACAGCCTTGGGCCAAAGATACGTAGCTAAACAATTTAAAATATTTTTTTCGTGTGCCAGATTTCTCCCACTTCAGAAGGGTGCATAGAAATCCTTAGTTGGCTTGTCCCCAAGTTTTTCCTATCGAGGAAGCCCTTGCTCTCTCTATCCCCCTAGATTTATGATTCACGCAAAGCAGAGCTGTTGTGAATTTTTCTGTAGTGTTCTGTCTCCGGTTGAGGAGACTCTTTTATTTATTTCTCCCCGGGAAGTTTACAGTATAGGTCAGATATGCAGGAAAGCCATGCAGACATGTTAGTGATGAAAATAGTATCCAGAGAGCACGTTTTTCCAAAGATCTCCTCCCATCAGTAATGGGAATGCTGATGAGTTCAGAGCTTTAAAAGGAATTGTTTCTAGCTGGTGACTTTGAGCAATGATGCATGTTTCTCTTTCAAAGAGAGAGGCAACGTTCAACACAGCATCACAAGAAATTGCTGTGTATGCTGTTGACATCAGCTTTAAAAACCACAAAGCACACAACTTTGGCAGCTTTGGACTCCTAGGAAAGGGTGGTGTTTCTGCTCTGCTTAATGAGTTACAAAATCTTCCCCCTTCTCCTGCCTTGGTCAAACTCTTAGGCGAAATAACAAGTTTGATTTGCAGGGATAGCCCCTCTAGTTCTGATTTGTTGAGGAGAAGATGAATATTTATCACAGACTAAGAGAGATGTCCATTACCTTTTGCACTTGGAAATTGTGGGAGTTACTGATAGAAGATTTGGAGGTGGGGGAAATTTCAAATGCCTCTCCCTGGCACCCATACAGCACTTGACTTTCTCAAATATCAGCTAACTAATTAATCCTCACAACACTTGTGTGAGGGAAGTATTATCCCCACTCTGGAGATGGGGAAACTAAGGCCTAGACATATCTGGGGGGAGGGATAGCTCAGTGGTTTGAGCATTGGCCTACTAAACCCAGGGTTGTGAGTTCAATCCTTGAGAGGGGCCAGTTGGGGATCTGGGGCAAAATCAGTACTTGGCCCTGCTAGTGAAGGCAGGGGGCTGGACTCAATGACCTTTCAAGGTCCCTTCCAGTTCTAGGAGATGGGATATCTCCATTAATTATTATTATCACTGGACAAAAGCTTATGCTCAAGGTGGAGCATGCTAGAGAGTCAGCAGGTTGATGTATGGACTCAGCAATCCGTTGCTGAGATTAAGGAGTTGCAAAATACAGGGTTTGGGTTTCTCTTCCTCCCCAGCATATACACAGGCAACCTCAAATTGCAGACCCAGAAGTTCAGCCAAAAGACAACTGCCCAAAGATAACTAATTAATTGTTGAAAATTCTAGCTGTTAGAAAAGACAGAGCCATGTGTACCTTTGTGATTCCTAAGGGAAAGGGAAGATCAGAGAGGTTTCCAGCATTAGACACTAGCAGAGAGCTTCATCAGCTGCTGTGGAATCCAAAGGAAAGAGAAAATACGTGAAACTAAGCAGTTTTTATTTATACATCTACATGAGTGTATGTATGTATATAAAATATGGAGAGATTTCGATGCATTATTTGTTCGCTTCACTGATTATTTTTTTTTAATCATATATAACAAATACTGTAGTTTAGATTTATATCTAATTTCCTGTGGAGAAAAATAGTGGTTGACCATGATATTAAACTGAGTTACTGTCTTGCAGCTCCTGGTCCCCACATTTCCGCTGCTGAGACTGTATCACTAATACAAACTATTCTTTTCGGGGACCACCAAGATGAAAGTCAGTTAAATAAGGGAAACCCATTCCAATTAGTATCTGAAATCCAGGTTCTTTTATTCCTAAACCAGAACTCTTAATTGATGTTCTTGTGCACAAGAAGGTTGTTCTTTGTTCAATGAGCTCAGCGTATTTAATAGCTCTTAAATAAATAAGACCGTTTCTAATTGTTGGGTTTTGGAAGGAAGGGCACCATGATTATAAATATGGGAGAATCTTTTCTTAAAGCTGGTGTCTAAATACCAAGATGAAGGATCCAGTATCAAATAAACAAAACAAAGGAATATGCACTCTGTCCTTAATGTGGAGACTGAGAAGTTAATGGGGTGCTATCTTGTATATGTGGCTTGCATGTTGCGAAGCTGGAGTTGGGATGAAGTGACATCCTCAAGTTGAAGCCCTTGCTTTAGTTGATTTGTTATATGCTTTGTGGTATTTTTAACATCATTCTATTGTATCTTATTACCTTGTTTTTACCACTGGAATAATTAAAAAGAAAAAAAATCCCTCTCCAGCCCCTGCTGCCATTGACCATATAAATGTTTTGTTAGGAAAGTGTCAGTGGACGTGATATGACTCATCTGTTGAGAATACATTTCATCTCCGGTCATTTCCAGAATATAAACTGTGGGTTCATACTTTAGCTCCATGACCAGTTCCTTGCTACCTCTTGATCTCATTACTTGACCGCAGCTCCTCAGTTATCCTGCTCCGTGAGTTCTCTACTCCCTTGTTAGCCACCCTTTCCAATGCCCACCTTGCTAAAGAAGATAGCACAAAGTGCACTATCTTCACTAGCGACGGGGGCGGACATCCAGTGGGTGCGCTGAAAAGTCATCACCTATTACTGTGTTAAAGCGCATTAGGCTGGAAACCTGACTCCTGGTGTTAGAGCTAAATTGCTTTTTGGTTTATGTTTTAATGACTGATTTACATGTTGCTCAGACTACACTACAGCCTTCGCTGTGCTGACAACCTGTCTGTATATGCAAGCTAGATTACTTTGCGGATAGTTTAACAAATTAGGGCTTAGTGTACTGTTTTAAATAATTTAATGTTTATTCATGGTACAGCTAAGAACCAACAGGTATATTGCTCCTGTCCTAGTATGGTAAGTGGGGATATATATACTCGGTAGTGTCAGATCTGTTTGCAGAACTGCCTGACTTCAGCTACGTAGTAGCTAAGAGATGATTGCATTCAGAGCCTGTGTTCTGCTGATGTATGCTACTGGGGCCTTCCATTTATATATCTGCAATCAGCTGCGTATTATACATGTGAATACCATATGGTCTCTTTATTTCATTCCTAAATTACTAAATTGTCCAATTATGTTCTTGAGCAAAGTTCTCAGCTCAGAACTGTGCATCTGTGTGAGGGAGATTTTTCTCCCTCCCCTTTGACTCCTCTTCTCCGGGATGTGTTTGAACCATTAATTATCCAGGACCTGTGGTCACTCCGATGTACTCAGTATTAAATATCTCATAGCCTAGTTAAGTCCCTCTTTGTAAAACCTGGGAGCAACTCACTATGAACTGTTCAAATGAATCCCATGAACAAGGTGTATTGTTCCCTGAGGTTATTCTACAGCACTTGATATCTGTACATATGGGATGCTAGTCACCCAGCATTTTACTTCTCCTTGGTGGACCACATGATCTCAAAATCTCTCTAGTGGTTGGGACAAACAGAAGAGACCTTTGTTGGTTGTTTGTTGGTTTACATCTCTCCCAGCTTACCCTTACCCCCATACGTGCTGCTAAGCATTTCTTTGGAGCTTGCAGTCTCTCTTATTGACTTGGTCTTAACCTCATGCGCAATGTAAAGTAATGGGTCACCCATCAAATCAGTGACTGTAACTGAAGATATGTTTGAATCATGATTATTAATGTATAGATGTGAGGACACAGTCAGTGATCATTGCAAGTCGTATGCAAAGTACCAATGAAGCACTGGCTGAGGAATGTATGACTTAACATCAGGTTCTTATTTGTGGAGCTTGCATCATAATGAATTGTTCTTGTGCGGGATAGACCTCTGTGCTATTCAGTTCCATTAGTTATTTTCACATAGCTGCCTGTCTCCAACAACACTGCATTCTTCTGACAAGGTAGAGAGCAAATTGACAGCCTGTTAGCTTGGTTTTCTGTATCTAACTTCAATATGTATATGTGGACTAGGACAAAACATAGCCCAGAGGTTAGATAACATAACTAGATGTTAGGGCTTCTGGGTTCTATTTCTAGACCTGCTTCTGTCTTGCTGTGTGGTGTTGCTGTCACTGTCTCTCTATGCCTCAGTTTAACCATCTGTAAAATGGATTTAATATTTACACCATTGCTGTTGAGATGTAATTAATTGTAAAGTGCTTTGAAATCTTATAAGCAGCACTATAGAACAGCAAAACAGTATTATGATCCTTATTAAGTTAATCTAAAATAGTCCGATAATAAGTCTGATGTAATTTACCATAATAGTCTGAATTAGGATTGTGTCAAGTACTATTGAAAGAAATCTGGTACTTACTCCCGTATCTGAGGAATATGCCAATATAACAGTCAATAATGCCCTTTGCTCGCCAGCTGACATATTAGCCAATAACAAGACTTGTTCATCCAGGCTACGTATAGTTACAAAATGTTACTGCCGGGAGAGCATTTTCTATTAGTTTTCCAGACCAGATATTAGAGACTGAGGGGAGTATCAGTGAGCACCTCCCTAGGTCAGATAAAGTATAAATCCACAAACTGCTATCTCCCTGTATTGGGATTTAATGTATAAGATTAGTTAAATGAGCTACTTTGCTAGGAGCCTTATAAACTGGATGAAAAGCACAGGATGAATGTTGAATATCCTCGTATTGTGTAAAGCCAGAACTGCACTAGTGAGGAGCCATGGTATGCCAGT